GTCTAAAGAAAACCATGTATATACCTTAATTAAAAAATACTTGATTGCTGACAAATGCTAACCATCATCTGAGCCTTCAGTGAGTTGTAATCCTTTTGCTTGTGGAGGGTCTTGTAAAAAATGCAGTATCTGTGAAGCATAATAAAACAAGATGTGCCTGTATTTATTTTCTTATTTTTAGGGTTTCATATCACCTAGCACATGGCAGACACTCAGTAAATGTCAAATTTTAGCTATTTGGATGCTTTTTATTTGCTTTCATCCTTTTGGTATGAGGTACGATATAAATGATCTGTGTGTTGGTATTGTATGCTATGGTAAACTTAGATATTTTTGGTGAGAAAACAATGTACAGATGAATGTTGGCTGCATCAGCATAACACTTTAGCACATATTTGCAAAAATAGATTTGATGAAAACTAATGTGCATTGAAAAGACCTTTGAACAGATTAATGGGCGCTCCATTCTTGTTGCAGAGGCCAGAAACCTTGTCTTGGTCTCTCACTCCCTTTCCTCACATCCCAAGAAGCATATTTGCATAGCTGATTGATTCTGTCTTCAAATATATATATCCAGAATCCAGCTGCTTTGGTCCATCAACTGTTCTTTCTGCTTCTCTGTTTGCCACCCACTAGTCTTCATGTTAACACAATAGCTAGATTGATCCTTTAAACCATAAGTGAGATCATTTCCCTCTTCTGCTTGAAACTCACCAATGACTTCCTATCTGAAAATAAAAGCCTCAATACTAATAATGAGTTAGAAGCCCCTGTACGATTACTTATCTCCCCTTACGTCTTCTGACTTCAGCTCCTACCATGAACTCCACTCGTTCATTTTACTCCAGCCTTGCCAGATTCCTTACAGTTCTTAAAATCATCAAGCTGGCTCCCACCTTGCAGCTTTTGCTTTAGCTCTTTCCTCAGATATTCCCAAAGTTTGTTCCCATGTTTCTTTCAAATATTTGCTCAAATATCACCTTCTGGGTGTGCTTTACCCTGACTGCCTGATATGAAATAGTCCCTACTCCCACTTCTTAATCCTCTCACTGTCCTTTATTTTTTCAGTTGAGCATTTAACACCTTCTGATGTACTACATAGCCAGCCCTGGTGGTCTAGTGGTTTAGATTCTGCTCTTTCATTGCTGCCGCCCAGGTTTGTTTCCTGGTCAGGGAACCACACCACCTGTCTGTCGGTTGTCATACTGTGGTGGCTGCATGTTGCTGTGATGCTGAAAGCTGTGCCACTGGTATTTCAGATACCAGCCGGGCCACCCGTGGTGGACAGGTTTCCGCAGAGCTTCAAGACTAATTAAGACAGACTAGGAAGAAGGACCTGGCCATCCACTTCTGAAAAAATTGGCCATGGAAACCGTACGAATAGCATTGGAGTGTTAATATAGTGGCAGGAGGTGAGAGGATGGCGCACTAGGCTGGGCAGGGTTCTGCTATGCTCTATGTAGGGTGGCTAGGAGTCGGTATTGACTTGACGGCACTAACAACAAAAAAATGTAGCACATGAAATTTATTTATTCATATTGTTTATTGTCTGTCTTTGCCTCAATATTAGAGTGTAAGCACTTTGAGGGATGAGTTTGGATGGAGGTGGGTGAGTTGGGGGGTTGGGAGAAGGATATGTCTCTCCTTCTTTCCTGGATCCCCAGCACTTAAAAAATGCTGATGAATGGATAAATGATGGTTTGATTTGAATGACTGAAAGAAAAAACAGAAGGGTAGTTAGATCCAGCCTTTAGCCCTAGTTCTGCCATGGATTGGCCTCTTGACTTGACCTTTGACCTGTATCCTCTCTGGGTCTATACAGTGATGGCGAATAAATGGTTCCTATCAGATCTTATAAAGCTTTCTCAGGAGGGTGTCTTTGTAGTTTCTCAGAGAGGTGTATTTTAGAAATTACTCAGTAGTTTAAGGAAAAAATTTTCCCTTTGGAAAATATTGACTGTTTTGTCTTGACTTACCTTCTCACCTAAAAAAAATTAGGTAACTTTGTACATAATAGTTGGATTTATTTAGGGTCCTAGCTGTAATTAATATAAAATTAATATTTTCCTGTTCAAGGAAAAAAATTTTAACATAAAACTCAAAAAATAATGATTGCGCATTTCTTTTCTTGGTGTATGACTCTGCTTGGGAATATGAGGGATTCAGATATATTTGTATTTTGTCTGAGTCTTCAAGGAGCTTACCATTAGTTAACATCTAAATAATAAATTGAGGCAACAATAAATAATTTGGCCTAAGGTGCTGCTCTGTAAATGAGATTTAAATACACAGAATGTTAGAACAATCACGATGCTTTAGGAAGTCTGGCAATGTGGATAAAGCAAGTAGGGGCTCAGTTAACTAGGGACATTTTCTTGGGAGGAGGTGGGACTGGGATTTGAGAAGCTCTTAACATTTAGTTGCATTTATTTACCTGCTACTTTGTAATAACCCCCACCTCTCAACAACAACAGCAGCTCCATATACATTCAGACATTTTCTAGGAGATAATGAGATTGGTATAACTAACAAAATTTGGAGAAAGTAGTTGGAAATAGATAAATAAGGTAGGATCAGATTATGGGGGACTTCGAATGCCAAGGTGAGTTTGGGCTAGCTTTATACAGGAAATGAGGGGGTGGTTTGGGCTCTTAAGCAGGGAAGATGTTGAATGCAATATTTTGAGAAGGGAATAGTGTGCAGAATAGCTGCTCTTTACAAAGAGTTTTTACTTTGAAATGGTAAAGTTTCTAAGGTCTATTTTATGCTTGTGACTGAGGCAAGAAAATATTTTGCAACAGTAGTTCTTTTAGCCAGGGAAACTTTATTTATTTATTTATTATTTATTTATAATTTTATTTATTTTCCCCCCAAAGCCCCAATAGATAGTTGTATGTCATAGCTGCACATCCTTCTAGTTGCTGTATGTGGGACGCAGCCTCAGCATGGCCGGAGAAGTGGTGCGTCGCTGCGCACCCGGGATCTGAACCCGGGCCGCCAGCAGCGGAGCACGCGCACTTAACCGCCAAGCCACGGGGCCGGCCCCCCAGGGAAACTTTATTTTGAAGGCTGGCAAACATTTCTTGCTTAGTTAATGACTTTCCCTTTTGTCCTGAGGAGTCTCCACTGCATTTTTTATATAGGCTAGGCATAATCTTATTCCAGCATAGGTAAGTGTTGTTTCTCTTGCTGTCAGGAAAAAAAAGATTCACAGTCATGCTCCACACAACTAAAGTACTGCATATATGATGGTGGTCCCATAAGATTAGTAGCCTTTAGTCTAGGTTGTAACAGGCTATACCATCTAGGTTTGTGTAAGTGCACTCTGTGATGTTTGAATAATGACAAAATCACCTAATGATGCATTTCTCAGAACATATCCCTGTTGTTAAGTGACGTGTGGCTGTATTTTAATTAATTTACTTTTTGTACTGAGGTAAAATTCCATTGTCCTTTCTTAATGCCCCCACCCTTTTCATCTCTTTGCATCCCCTATTTCTTAGAGATTTTTGAGTTAGAAAAGACCCCAGGGATGGATCATCTGGTTCATTGGCTCAACCTGTGTCATAATGGCCTAGAGAGCTCAAATTGATACAGTTAAAATCTCTAGGGCTTGAAATCTATGATATTCTGTGGGGAATTCTGATGCTGAGTCAAGACTGATCAAGTCTAGTATTTTTCTTTTATTTATTTATTTATTATTTTTTATTTATTTATTTTTGGTGAGGAAGATTGGCCCTGAGCTAACATCTGTGCCCATCTTCCTCTATTTTGCATGTGGGATGCTGCCACAGCATGGCTTGATGAGCAGTGTGTAGGTTCGTGCCCGGGATCCAAACCCACGAACCCTGGGCCGCTGAAGCGGAGCATGCAAACTTAACCACTATGCCACCAGGCTGGCCCCAAGTCTAGTATTTTTCAATTTAGAGCTTGCATTAAGACTTACCAGGGGAGCTTTTTAAAAATGTAGGATACCGAGCCCCTCCCCTAGAGATTCTGAGTAGATTTGATGTTAGACCTGGACAGGTGTAGTTTGGGAAGATTCCCCAGGTGATTCTAATACAAAATTCTGTTAAGAACTTCTTATCCGTTGGATCTCCTTATTTTCTAGACCAGAGAAAGAGAAGCAAAGACATAAAGCCCTGGTCACTTGCATCCCAGTCTTTCTGTTGCACAGCATCATAACCTGATTTGGTCACCTCTACTTGCGTTCATGGAGGGGATTCATGTGTGTGGTTTGTTTGCTGTTCATAATAAACTAACTTTCTGCCTTTACCAAGCTGGGCCCATGCTGACTATGGAGAGGATTTGTGGGGTCATTTTAAATTTCTTTTTACATTTTTTATTTCCTGGGATGAGTGTGAGGTCTGAATTTGAAATTGTCAAGCAGGAACCTAATGTGGAGTAGTATTTGTGCTTATGAGAAACAGATGCCTTTGGAACAGTTTTTTTTAAGTTCTTAGTTTCTAATATATTGTAGGGACTGTCCCACCTTTCTTTCACCCAGTAGTTTTGGTTGCTCAGATACAGTTGGTTTAGCTCGTCATTTACAGTTGTAGCACTTCCGGTTTGGTAATCCTTAAGCCACATTTGTGATCAAGTTAACTAGAAAAACGGCATTGCTGCTGTTAATACAGTATAGTCTAGTTGGTAATACAGTATAAAATACCATGTTATTTTAAAGATTCCAGATCTGGAAGATGTGAATAAAAGATATTTAGTGGTAACAAGCCATGTAGGTCAGAGCATTCAAGTGCAAGAAAGAGGAAGCTTGGGTCTGAGTCTTAGGCCTTACTCATGGCTACCGCTAGGCTTTTTATTGAAATAATTCTTGGGACGACAGCTGCTAGTGGTGTATTTTGTTTCAGAACCATAAGATGAGGGAAAAGGCCTCTGGAAAACCAGTCCCCTGCCCTTAACCCTTTTGAAATTAACTCCTAAATATAAATTTGTAACTTATAATACCATTCACTTATGCTATTTTTGTCTCTGTCCTGCAGGGGTTGATAGTTCTTGGGGAGATGCCTACCCCAGAGCATACAACAACAGACTTATTTCTTCCACTTAGTTCTGAGGTGAAGACAGATCATGGGAATGATAAATTGGTAAGTATAAAAGACCAAAAAAGGGGAAATGAGTGAGAATTCAGGGTGTAATGTCAGCACACAGTTTATGCTCTATAACAAGGATCCTTGCATTGGCTGAGGGAAGGGGGACTGTATCGCCTTTACCACTTTTGGCATTTCGAGATCTGAATTCCCCAATAGGGCAGCACAGGGCCCCTCCTGCAGCTGTGTAACTGAACTTAGACTTAAAAGCAGCTCCTAACTCTCAAGACACTGCAGACAGATCAGCTGTGGGTATTATGGAGTATTAGTGGGAATCAGATTGTGTGGCTCTGCCACCTTTGACAGTAAGGTAACCTTTCTGGGCCACTATAAAATGAAAGGCTTGGACTAGAGGTTTAACTCACAAAGATGTTGAAAATGCTCTCTATGAGTTACCCCCTTTAATTGTATAATAAGGATAAAGCTGTCATTTTCTGTAATCTTCTGTATCCTTAGAACCTAGCTCAAATCTCCCTCTTCCATGATTCATTACCTTTCCTTGTTTCTCTCAACACCGAAATTAATTTCCTTTCCTTCTGAATTCTAAGAGCACTTTTTTTGTTGTTTTTTTCGCTCTTTTACTTTCTCCAGAAGGTTACTACCTTTTATGAATATTAACATTTCTTGATGTAAGTCATTTGTTAGAAATACCAAAGTCCCACGACAATAGTTTGTTTAAGAGGCTAGTGAGCTGTGCTGGTTCTTTTTGTGTGTGTGTGAGGAAGATAGCCCTGAGCTAACATCCGTGCTAATCCTCCTCTTTTTGCTGAGGAAGACCAGCTCTGAGCTAACATCTATTGCCAATGCTCCTCCTCTTTTTTCCCCCAAAGCGCCAGTAGATAGTTGTATGTCATAGTTGCACATTCTTCTAGTTGCTGTATGTGGGACGTGGCCTCAGCATGGCTGGAGAAGCCGTGCGTTGGTGCGCGCCTGGGATCCGAACCCTGGCCGCCAGTAGCGGAGCGCGTGCACTTAACCGCTAAGCCATGGGGCTGGCCCTGTGCTGGTTCTTTAAACTGTGCTTTAAACCAGCTAGTCTCCTTGCATATACAAATCAACAAAGCTTGTTATCCTTTATTATTATCATTGTTAGCAGGAACTCATAGGATACAGTGGAAACTGACTTTCTTAATGAGAGATCTTAAAGCCAGCTGCTGATACTAGGGATAAATGCTGAAGGCATTAAGAGATTGATGGTTAAGTGGAAAGTAGTTTTAAATAAATTAAAGAGCTGAATGCCAAATTGTGCCACTATTCAGTTCCATAATTTGAGTTCATTGTATGTTATCTACAGAATTTCTTTTTAAGTGATTTGTGAAACTGTTTTAGGATTGCTCTACCCAGGGTAAAAATTATTACACGTGAAAGAGAAAACATGGGTAAGTTGGAAGGTCAGCTAGTGCCTGTGGTATGATAGGTATGGGAAACATGAGACTTGAGGCAGCATATGCAATTGGGAGTAAGTTTTGTATAGATATTTACATATTTATGAACAGGATTTAGGGATTACAGAAATTCGGGAGTGATCTCCTATTGTCATGTTTTCTCTCACCTCAGTGCATGTGAAGGATAGGATATAACAGACTCTTATTGTGTTATTGATTCTCTTTGTTATATTAATACACATTCACATATATGCACACATGCATGCCCCGTAGGGACTTGTCTCTTTTCCTACCCACCATTTACTTGCATGTGTATGGCCTATATTAGATTGTAAGATTCTTGAAGGTCAAGACCATTTTCCTCGTTCCTCATTGTGTTGACCACAGTAGTTTCTACACTGTACAGTAGAATGCTTTTTGGATTCAGTAAAATAAATAATGATTATGAAAACAATTAAGTATACACTGTCACTATGTATTCAAGGAGAGGTTAACCACTCCCTTTCTTGTGATTTATACATGATTTCTGAAAAATCTTTAGAAAGGCAGTATGTTTCTCCTGTTTATGGAGTAGGCTACAAAGCATATATTCTTTAAAAGCGATTAAGTGACTTAAAGGTCCTTCACCATTTTTAAAATGCCAAATATTTGCAAAGTTGTGCCTAATACATTAGAGTTTTTCATTAATTTTGCCTTTTTGTTATCCAGTTTCTTTTTGTGAAGAGTGATTTACACCTCTTCTTTTCGATTTTGCTTTAAAAAAATCTTAGGTCACACTTGACAGGGGGCAGTTGTCACTTTTCATATATACATTTAACCACCCTATTCTCCATTTTTGCTTATTAATTTTTTTTTTTCAACATGAAAGTTTTTATTGCCCTTTTTTGTTACTCAGAAAAAAAGTGCTTGAGGGGCCAGCCTGGTGGCATAGTGGTTAAGTTTGTGCGCTCCGCTTTGGTGGCCCAGGGTTTGCAGATTTGGATCCTGGGCACAGACCTACACACCACTTATCAAGCCATGCTGTGGCAGGCGTCCCACATATAAAGCAGAGGAAGATGGGCACGGATGTTAGCCCAGGGCCAATCTTCCTCAGCAAAAAGAGGAGGGTTGGCAACAGATGTTAGCTCGGGGCTAATCTTCCTCACACACACACAAATTTTTTTTTGAAGACTTGTGGTTTAAAAATAGTTATGTCAGAGGTTTTCTTTGTTGTGTTCATCTTTGTGTTGAGTTCTGAAACTCACTGGGATTAACAACAACAAAAAAAGGGTTTTCTAAACTTTCAAAATATAGTTTCAAGAAGTGAGACATAATTCTCAAAGATATATAGTGACTTACTAATTAAGGTGGGAACCATGATGATGACAGAACTGATAACATGGTAACAGTATCTTCATGCCAGATACTGATTTATATATGTGGGCATTGAAAGGAAGAGGGCTGGGATAAGATTACTTGAATACAAAACTTAAGTTGCATACAAAACTTATTAATATCCTATGGAAGAATAAAGTCTTAACCTTTGGATTTATGTTTTTAACTAGACGTAAATCAATTTTAACTCATCAGTGTTCTAAAAATAAACATCCAATTTAAGGCATCTGGGCCGTAATCAATTATAGATATTGAGTAAAACAAAGTTAAATAATTTTTGGAAAGTTGTATGACCCTTAGGTGGGTTTGTTAGATAATGTTCCAGTGTTACACCGAAAGGACATATAATCGTCTTTTTGCCTTATTTCAAAGTGAATAACTGTTTCTTAACAGAACCAATATATATCTGCTTTGGTTATGAACACAGTACAGATATTGCTGAATCTAACTTATTCTAAAGGGGCCAATCAGAAATTTGCCTGCTAGAGCAAAAATCAGCATGCTTCAAGGAAAATTAACTGAATTCAGGGTTTCTACAGCATATCATACACAATGTCTGTATCCAATAAAAATTTATAAGACAGTAAACAGGAAAATGTGATCCTTACTTATTAGAAAAGGTAACAATAGAAACTGATCCTGAAATGACTCAGAGGTTGGAATTAGGAAATAAAGACTTAAAAGCAGCTATTAAAAATGTGTTTGAAGATTTAAAGTAAAAGATAGTGAGCAAACATATGGGAGAATCTCAGCAGAGAGGTGAAAACTAAAAAAGAAACAAATTAAACTTGTAGAACAAAAACTATAGATTTGAAAAGTACAGTATCCAAATAAAAAATTTACTGGTTGTACTTAAGAGCATATTGAAAACTACAGAAGAAAGGGTCAGTGAACATAGCAGATCAGTAGAAATTGTCCAATCCAAAGAACAGAAAGACTGAACATAGTCCTGGGGAAACAGTAAATATGTATATTTAGAGTTCCTGAAGGAGGAGAGAGAGAGAATGGTACAGAAAAAAAAAAATTGAGGAAATAATGGCTGGGTATTTGAATGAAAAAGATTAATTTACAGATTCAAGAAACTTAGGGAATAGTAAGTATAAGAACTATAAAGTGGTGAAAATCCAAAGGTGAAGAAAATCTTGCAAGTAGCCAGAGGAAAAAAGGTAAATTTCATATAAGAGAACATTGATAATGATTGGTAACTTCTTATCAGAAACACTATAGAGGGCAGAAAACAATGGAATGAGATATTTAAAATTGATGGGTGGGGGGAGGACCTGTCACTCAACATTCTATACACAGCAAAGAAAAAAACTCTTTTAAAATAGATGAAATAAAGACATCTTTAGATAAAGGAAAGCTGAAAGAATTTGTTGACAGAATGTCTGCACGGAAAGACATTTCTTTAGGTTGAAGGCAAATAATACCAATTGGAAACTCAGATCTATGGAGAATAAAAGGAGAGGAAAAGATATACTTTATGAACAGTAAGCATAAGAAAGCTGTTGTTGGTATATTAATATCCACAAAATAGTTTTGTTTTTTTTTTTTTAATTTTTTTTTTTGAGGAAGATTTGCCCTGAGCAGTCATCTGTTGCCGGTCTTCCTCCTTTTTTTCCTTTTTTCTCCCCAAAGCCCCAATAGATAGTTGTATGTTATAGTTGTTCATCCTTCAAGTTGCTCTGTGTGGGATGCTGCCTCAGCATGGCTTGACGAGTGGTGCATAGGTCCACACCCAGGATCTGAATCCGTGAACTCCGGGCTGCAGAAGCAGAGCACGTGAACTTAATCGCTACGCCACGGGGCCGGCCCCAGCAAAATAGTTTTTTTTTTTTTTAATAGTGAAATTTTTGTTGTACATTATTGTTTGTCAGTCACCATGTCACCCCTTGTGCCCGCCCACCACCCCCTTGCCCCTGGTAACCACCAAACAGTTCTGTCTGTCCGTGTGTTGGTTTATCTTCCACAAATGAGTGAAATTATGCAGTGTTTGTCTTTCTCTTTCTGGCTTAGTACAAGTTTTTAAGACGAGTCATTATCAGAGATGAAGCACATTTTACAATGATAAAGGGATCGATTCATCAAGAAGACATAATCATAAAGGTGAATGTTTCAAATACATGAAGCACAAAATATATGCAACTAAAGGGATAGACAAATCCATAATCGTGTTTGGAAATTTTAACACTTCTCATTCAGTAATTGATATAATGACTAAACAAAAAATCAATGAGG